GTAATATCTCCCATCACGGGCCACAAATCTCGTGCCTCACTCATTCCAGCCAGTTGAACAATGTACTTGAGAATTCCATAAACCTGCACAATATATATATATATATATAATATATGACACATGTTAGAAAATATATGTATTTCCTCCCCCCACTCAACCCACATTTACAATAGTATCTGTACTGGCTCACATCCCTCAACCCTCCCTTCATAGGCTCCAGATATTGTAAACATTTGGGGTCCATAATAGCTGATAGAATCTGAGAATAAAAAACCATCTACAAAACAGCACCCTTTGTTAGACAAAACACGCCATATCTGCTCACCATCACTCAACTCTCAATGTAGGATAACTCACACCACTCAAATTCCTTTCAACTGCGGCAGTTTGGGACTGCAACAGGATTTTAGAGGGCAGGTTCCATTGTTCCAAATACCAGTTGTCACCTGCATAAGCTTTCACATTTTCCATAGAAAGGAGTCTACCCCTGACCATTTGGATGATAGAGTTCGTGACAACCTCTTCAGGTTTGAAAACCTTACTAAAGATTCTACTATTTCTCCCCATCCAAATGTGGTAGATAGTGCAGAGAAAAGAGAGTTTCAAAATCACAGATTTCAGAGATTTACCATTGATGGATTTAGTAGCAAACTCAACAAGTTCCGACCAGGGCAGAGAAGGCCAGTGGGAATTACATTTAGCTTGGATAACAGCCCAAATCCTAGAGGAATAGAGACACCCAAAGAACAAATGGGAGTGGTTCTCCTCAGGAGCATAACATAAAGGGCAGCTAGGGCTAGTAAGGAGACCAAAGATTAGACATTTAGAGAAAAGAAAGAGAAACGGGAAAAAAATCATAGGGAATTCACATTCGTCCTTTTGGACTTGAGAATTGAACAGTTGGGGAATTTGGAAAACTTTAAATGCGGTGCTTATGTTTAACTAATATCGTTAAGTGGCAATTACTCAGTAAATTCTCTTTCTTAGATGCTAAGCAAGATTTGTTGGAGTTAAACTTGGCCACTTAAGCTAATGGAACAGTTAGGGTCCCAAGCGAATTAGTTTCCTAGAACAAAACAATTCCAAGAATCATTTGAGATAATTGAACTAACCTTAGAATTGTCAGGAAGGTTGGTGACAACCTCTTCAGGTTTGAAAACCTTACTAAAGATTCTACTATTTCTCTCCATCCAAATATGGTAGACAGTGCAGAGAAAAGAGAGTTTCATAATCATAGATTTCAGAGATTTACCATTGATGGATTTAGTAGCAAACTCAACAAGTTCCAACCAGGGCAAAGGAGGCCAGTGGGAATTACACTTAGCTTGGATAACAGCCCAAATCCTAGAGGAGTAGTGACACCTAAAGAACAGATGGGAATGGTTTTCCTCAAGGGCACAACATAAAGGGCAGCTAGGGCTAGTAAGGAGACCAAAGATTTGGAGCCTATCCCCGGTGTTAAGTCTCTCATGAATAGCCAGCCACACAATGAAACTAACCCTAGGGATAACAGGAGGACCCCAAATAAGATTAGACCAAGTAACCCTTGGGCCCTTGTCCCTCCAACATTCCCAAGCAGAGTGGATAGAAAAAGAGCCATCAGCAGTCAAGCTCCACACAGGAATATCAGGGGAATCAAGGGAAAGTTTAAGAGAAGGAGGAGTGGCAGCAATCCATTCCTGTATCTCCCAAGAGTTAGGAAAAGGCCAATTCCAAGAATCATTTGAGATAATAGAACTATCAGGAAGGTTGGTATCATACAAAATCCTAGGACCATACCAAAGCAGAAGCGAACCAAAGGGGTGCCAGTTATCATACTAGAGGAACACATTTCCTCCATTACCAAGTTTGAATTTGATAAGGGGGAAAATTAAATCCCTAAGTGACAATAGTTTCCTCCAAACCCAGGAGGGATCACTGGGCACCTTAATACCCCAAAAACTCTTACCTTTAAGTAAGTATGACTTAACCCATTGACACCACATAGAACATTCCCCACCCGAAAACAAATACCAAACATGTTTGGCTATAGCCGCTTTATTCCAAACCTCCATATCCTTAAAACCAAGCCCACCCTCATCTTTTTTTTTTGCAAATTTGCTTCCAAGCAATTTTAGCACTATGTTTTTTCAGCTCCGTCCCAGACCAAAGGAAAGATCTGAGAAGATTTTCTATGTCGCGGATAACCCTCTTAAGGAGAATAAAAATAGAGGACCAATAAACTTGCATCGAAAAAAGAATAGACTGGATGAGTTGGGCTCTTCCAGCATAAGATAGCAATTTATTGGTCTAGCTTTTAATCCTTTTAGTCATCCTATCAACCAAAGTTTGGCAATCAGACACTCTAAGCTTAGTGGTGATCAAAGGCACACCCAAGTATTTCACAGGAAGGGAGCCCTCAGTGAATTTGGCAATGTGCAAAATATTAGCTTTAAGCTCACTACTACACCCGGAAAAATAAATATTACCCTTATTAGGATTAGGAGTGAGACCGGACAATTTCCTGAATTCCTCCAAACCTTGCATGATGAGACTAACAGTCCCCGGATCCCCTCTACAGAAGATCATAAGGTCATCAGCAAAACACAAATTAACAATTTTAGTCTTCTCACATCTCCAATGGAACTTAAAAAGAGGGTTTCTAGATTTTTCAGCAAGAATTCTAGCCAAGACCTCCATAGCCAAGACAAAAAGATAAGGGGACATAGGGTCTCCTTGCCTAAGCCCCCTAGCCCCTTTAAAATACCCATGAAGACTACCATTAATGCAAATGGAGAAGGAAGGACTAGTCATACAAGCTCTAATCCAATTTATCATGCAAGGAGGAAAGTCCATAGCAGTGAGGATATCAATAATAAACTCCCATCTCACAGTATCGTAGGCTTTCATGATGTCCACCTTCATAGCGCACTTCTGAGTTTTAGAACTCCGGTGGTAACCCCTCATAATCTCTTGGGACAGAAAGATGTTGTCCGAGATTCTTCTACCCTGGACAAAAGCAGATTACACAGGATCAATCAGATCAGGAAGCACCAATTTGACTCTGTTAGCTATTATCTTGGCAATGCATTTATAGATGGTATTACAGCAAGAAATAGGCCTATAGTCACCAACATTCATAGGATTAGGAATTTTAAGAATAAGAGCAATGATGGTGCTATTGAACTCCGAGAGGAGTTTACCAGAGTCAAAAAATGACTTAATGGCAAGAGTAACCTCCTTCCCAACAATATTCCAAGAGCTTTTGAAGAAACTAGCTGAATACCCATCAGGGCCAGGAGCTTTCTTGGCTTTAAGAGACCAAAAAACCTCCTTGATTTCAACATCCGAAACAGGTTTAGCTAAAAGAGCCGATTGAGAATTAGAAACCTTTTTATTCACCAGCGATTTGATACGCTCAAGACCATTGTACTCCCCCAAGATAGGGGTACCAAACAGCTTGGTATAGAACTGGACAAAAGTATCATGAATATCAGTATACTTAGTGGACCTAGAACCATCCTCCATAACCACACTCATGATTTTACCTCTATTAATATTAAGTGTTCAATTCTCGAGTCCAAAAGGTTGAATTTGAATTCCCTTTGATTTTCTTCCTATTTCTCTTTCTTTGCTCTAACTTTCTCTTCGAGCTCTCAAGAAAAAAGTTTCTCTGTAACTCTCTCCTTCCTTCTCCTTCTTTCTTCTTTGGTTCCAGAAACAAATTAGTTGTGGTAACTAATTATTTCATAAGCTTTAGTGGCCAAGTTTAACACAAACTAATCTTGCTTTCCCTCTAAGAAAGAGAATTTTCTTAGTAATTTTAGCTTGACGATATTAGTTTTACTTCAGCAACTCGTTTAACGATTTCGAAATCACCTAAGTGTTCAATTCTCTAGTCCAAAAGGATGAATTTGAATTTCCATTTTGTTCCAATTTCTCTTTCTTTGTTCTTACTTTCTCTTCTAGCTCTCCAGAAAATAGTTTCTCCGTAACTTTCTCCGTCCTTTTCCTTCCTTCTCTCTTTTGCTCTAGAAACTAATTAGCTTAGGTAACTAATTGCTTCATAGGATTAAGTGGCCAATTTTAACTCAAACTAAGCCCTCTACTGGCATCCACCATAAGATAGATCAGCCAATTCAGATGCGTTAATATAAGTATTAAACTCCTCATTTTCAGAGGTCCAGGTAGGAGAACCCCCAATTTTTTCCTGTTGGTACCTTATAGCATTAAAATCACCCCAAAAAATACAAGGAACTTTGGATTTAGCACGGGAGATATTAAACATTGTATCAAAAAATACTTTCCTCAAAACGTGCTTATTTGCAGCATAGACAAAAACAGAAAAAAAATATTCATTTGTAGCCAAATCAAGGAATTTACACAAAATATGCTGATTTGACATGGAAATCAGTTGAAGATCACAAAAATCATTGTTCCAGCACACCCAGACTCTCCCAGTTTCAGTTGGTTGTGAATTGGAGAGCATAGACCATTTACCAAAGCATTTTTCACAAATTTTCCTCTCATTGGTTTGCTTTATTTTAGTTTCCAAAACTCCCATGACATGAAAATTTTCTTTAGACACAAAATTCTTAACTTCTTTTTGTTTAGAGGGATCATTCAATCCTCTAACATTCCATGAAGCAATTTTAACAGTCATTGGGATACAAAAAGGAGAGATGACAAAAACCACAACCAACTGAAACTAGTTACTTCTTCTTCTTCCTCTGGCTGCTGCTTCCCTTGCCAGAGGACTTGTTCGTTATATTCTGGTTTACCTGAGCTACAGCAGGGGTCTTCTTTACCTCCTTCAGAGCTGACTCTAACATTTCAGCAGCATTAGGTATCACCAGCTTTGTAATCTCGAAAATCTTCTTTTGAAATCTATCCACATCACTACTGTCAGAACTTACTTCTTCCACAGAGGAGCTCTTCTCGGCCGGATCCTCTTGTAACACTTGATTATGAGCTGAAACAGCCAAAGGCTCTACAGCTGAGGTAGGTATGGGCTCCGTATCTTAAGGGATTTCAGGGGACTCCACCACTTCAGGTATAGTCTCTAACTCAGGATCCCCCACCTTCCTTTTACCCTTAGCTTGAACAGTTGTCCAACCTTCTTCCTGAGGATTAACATTCTCGTCGGTTACCTTCTGCAAGGAGATCAACTGGGCCACTTGTTTGGAAACACACTTCTCAGTACTATGTCCAAAGATCTGACAGTGTTGACAAACAGAAGGCAGTCCCTGATATTCAGCTTTAATTAAGACTGCATCATCACCACACCTGATTTGGAAATAAGAGAGCAACTTTGATGTAGCTTCTATCTCCACACAGATTCTAGCAAAAGCCACTCTACTACCTCGGGCCGTAAGCTGATCCATAAAGAGGGGGTTGCCAATTGCACTAGCAATCCTGCTTAAGCCATCAGGGTCCCAGTATTCCAGGGGGACATTAAAAAATTTCACCCAAACTGGGATTTTAGTGGATTTCTCCTTGGCAAGCTTCATCATTCTCTTCCATTGTTTCAAGATGAGGAGGTAACCCCCAATATACCATGGGCCTCCCTCTAGAACGTCTCTACAGCACTCAGGGGTATCAAAAATGAAGAACATGAAACCATCCCCATTTGTAAGAACTTCCTTAAGGCCCTTAGCCTTCCACATCCCAAACGCACTGTTCCGAAGATAATTATACCCAACTCTTTTATCAATAAAATAGCCAACGAGGCAGGAATCCCATTTCTCCAAAGGATCAAGTCTTGCTGGCATTTCTACCACAATACTATCTTCTACAGCAGTTGGAGGGACATACCTGAGCTTGATGTTTGATCGAGTAGATGCGGTAGTAACATTGGCCCATGATCGGTTTCCTTGATCCATTTGCTCTACAGTTCTGCTACCACTGGAGCCCCCGCGACCTCCTCTCCCACCTCGATAACTGCTTCCCCCCCTACCACCTCCCCCTTGAGTAGATTCTCCAAGAGGAATCTGGGTTTCAGAGATAGGAACCATATTTGGCTTGGCCCCCCCCTGTTACGCGCGATCTCCAGACTATCGGGCAGATTCAGGAAGCTATTATTCTCTTCCTCGACGATTTCAGACCAACTCGTGCCAATCTCATTACCAATCGGCGTAGATGGTTCCTGACCAAGACCTGGGAGCATCGGACCCTTCATTTTATCCAAGCTCTGCACAGCATCCTTAGATCCGTCATCGATTGGGGATTTAGATAGGTCTAAACCCACTAATTTCGAGAACGGAGCCGAAATACCCATCTCTTCAGAACGATTTGCCTCAACGTTGACTACCACTTCCTGGTTATGAGCCTCCGCACTTGGCAGATCTACCATCGGAATAACAACACTGAGATCTACGCTTGAGATACCCTCACCACTAGGTGTAGACAGTTCTGCTTCAGAAGCCATCAAATCGTCACACAATGTCGTAAAACGATTCTTAGTAAACCCTAGATTCCGATCGACCAGACCAGATATCTTTACAGACTTACTCTTTGCATTTTCCCCCACCTCTCTATCATTAATGGTAGCATTTACTCCAGGGGTTTTGCTAAAGAGCTCTAATTAGAGCTGTCCTCAAACAGCTCTAATGAGCTGGCACCTTTTAAAAAAAAAAAAAAAAAAAAAGGGTAAAAGACAAAACATGGGTAGGAAAAAGACAATTTAATGCCCATTTAAAGCTCAACTTTTAGAGGTTTCACTCTTTTTCCTTTACTCCAGACATCGGCAATCAATGAGATATTGAACCCTAGAAAACAAGAGTTTTCTAGAGAGACGTCAGAGCTTCTCTCACTAACCCATTAACTGGGCAGGCCTAAACTTTGTTTTTAAAGCATAATATTAATGTTGCATGTGTTAAGAAATTGTGAGAAACAGGTTGAAATTGGTAGATTTCAAAGGATGGTTTCAATTCCTTGTTGCCCAGTTTTTAGGCGGTCCACTCGAGCGGGTCTTATAGTGATCCCGGTTGTCCCTTTGCTGTTCTGTTGTATTCCGGACTCGGTTCCGTGAAGTTGGTAGTAGTATCTATCTTGTTGCCGTCCTTTAATTTCACTTGGTTGAGTTTTAGGATGTTTTGGGCAGGGTTGTTACAGGTTGGTTAGGCCTTGGTTTCAATTCCTTGTTGCCCAGTTTTTAGGCGGTCCACTCGAGCGGGTCTTATAGTGATCCCGGTTGTCCCTTTGCTGTTCTGTTGTATTCCGGACTCGGTTCCGTGAAGTTGGTAGTAGTATCTATCTTGTTGCCGTCCTTTAATTTCACTTGGTTGAGTTTTAGGATGTTTTGGGCAGGGTTGTTACAGGTTGGTTAGGCCTTGGTTTCAATTCCTTGTTGCCCAGTTTTTAGGCGGTCCGCTCGAGCGGGTCTTATAGTGATCCCGGTTGTCCCTTTGCTGTTCTGTTGTATTCCGGACTCGGTTCCGTGATGTTGGTAGTAGTATCTATCTTGTTGCCGTCCTTTAATTTCACTTGGTTGAGTTTTAGGATGTTTTGGGCAGTGTTGTTACAGGTTGGTTAGGCCTTGGTTTCAATTCCTTATTGTCCAGTTTTTAGGCGTTCCGCTCGAGCGGGTCTTCTTGCGCTCGAGCGGGGATTGCACAAAACCAGTATTTCGTGTTCCTGCAAAACTTCTGCAGATGTGATTTTTACGCTCGAGCAGGTTTGTTTACGCTCGAGCGGTAACGCTCTAGCGGATCTGTTGGCGCTCGAACGGGTAGTACTTTCTGGGTATAAGTTCTGGGAGGGGGAAATCTACGCTCGAGCGGACTGGTTTTCGCGCTCGAGCGGAAGTGCTTTATTCTCGTGTCTTGGCGCTCGAGCGGGCCTTATTGCGCTCGAGCGTGTCCAGATTTTTGTTCTTGGCGCTCGAGCGTTGTGTTCTCCGCTCAAGCAGGTCATACGTATATGAGTTATCCGCTGGGTGATTTTAAATCACTTTTAACTTTCCTTTCTCTCTCCTACTTTTTCTAAAACCCATTTTGAGAGCTCCTCTCTCTAAAACCTTGACTTCTCTCTAGGTATTGATCTAGTAGGAGTGATTTCCTCACCTTTGGCCTTTACAAAAAGGTTGTTGATCGTCGAGGGCTATCTTTTGATCCGAGAAATTCTTGGGTTGGAGCATTTTCGTCTTCTTCACCTTCTTGGTTGGGAGTCATCCTTTGAGGTAGGGATATCCTACTCCTCTCTATGAGTTTTGTCTTTAAATTTTGGCTTTTCGATATGTTGGGAGTTGTTGGGTAATTTTGAGAGAGTTTGGGCCTTTGTGTAATTTTACAAAAGTTAGGGTTTTAATTCTATAAAACCTAAATGCCTGTTT